CCCGGGCTGGCTCTGGTCCCGCTTCCAGCCTACGGAAGCGTTTTGTGGGCAGGCGTGCTGCAGCTTCTCAAGTTTTACGTCCTGCGTGTCTCTGAGGTGCCGTGTTGCCTCCTGCCTTTCTCCTTGTGTTGCTCGGTTTGCTGGGTTGCGGGGGAGTTAAGTGGTTCCGTTAAACTTCTTTTGGTGTAGAACTCTAGGGTGTGAACCGACTCCATCAGTGTCAATAGGAACCCATTTTTGTGCCTCTTCCAGTACCTGGTACTAAGGCATCGTCTAGAGGCTGATGTGGGGGCATCACGTTAAGCCCGAGCTTAAGGTTTCTTCCCATTACCAAACCATGAGGCAACCTTGGCTGGAATTGGTGCCATCGATGGATGAAGATGATGACTCCGTTGTTTTGCTTTGTGCTTCTGCTCCCTTTTGTGCTTTCTTGGGCATCAAACTCTGTGTTGCTTTTTTGCCCCCCCCCCCTTTTTTTTTTAAAAAAAAAAAAGATGCCTGTTTTGAATCCAAGCACTGGGAAAAGCGGTTAAATTAAGCTAGATACCAGAGTCAGATTTACATTTCTTGTTACACTGGAGTTTTAGGCAAGAGAAGAATTCAACATTCTTGGGATTTTTGCCAAGGCCAGGGATGTATACAGATGGAAGAGGTTGTTGTGAGCGCTCGTATTACCACACTATCTCTTTTTTGTTGAGTAGAAGTTGCACTGTTTTCTTAATGTGTCTGCAAATTTTGTGTAATAAAAGCATTCCCTTTCTTATCTTCTCACAAACCATCGTGAGATTTTTATTATTGACCTGCAACCGAAATGCAAGTAGAAACTTGCCAGACCAGCTACGCATAGTCCACTTACTTCGAATACCTTATGAAGTTGTATGTGTGTTGCCAGACTTACCTTCCCCATGGCTTTAATGTGTTTGCACAGGTGAAGACTTTTCTGAGCTGGGGACTCTCACAGCTGCACAGAATTCTTTGGCAAACCTAAATGCTTCGAGAACTTCAAGACTGTAGTACTTAAAAGTGGCAGTCTGTTGACTTGCAGTTTCTTCATTTTTGCCTTGTATATGCTGAGTGTAACTGTCTGTGCTTGTCACAATTAAACAAGTGCAACAGAATAGGAATTCTGTAATTATTGAGGCTAAATCGTACAGTCCCTTGCCAGGAAAAAATACTGTTTGCCGTTAGGAGCTTTTTAAAAAGTTGTTATTCCATTGTAAATTAGACCATCCAGAATATCAAATTATCAAATGTGGATGGTCTGTACTTCCAGTATTTACGTGAGTGGTTTTTCATGCTTTTAATAGGCATCTGTCAGGATTTAACTTTTTTTACGTTTTGTTTTCTTTTTCATTTAAAAGAACTAAGAAAACAGTTGAGCCCAGCTGATGGCCTGATGCTACTGGAAAGGAGAGATCCTCTTCCATGATCCCATCCACCCAGTTGGGGTTTTTTTTTTTTGTTTGTTTGTTTGTTTTTTGGTTTTGTTTTTTTTTTATTTACCATTGAGCTGATTCAACTTTCTTTGGCAGAAAACTAATCTTCCAAAGAAAGTATTTGGCTTGTGAGTTGGATCATCTGGGAAGTTGATGAGTTTGGAAGTTTGATGACTTGAATCTGCTCAGCAAAGGCTGTGAAATGGCAGTGAAAAAGAGGAGCAGGACACCCCTGCAAAGGTTAATGGGAAGAACAGGACCCCGCTATTGTTAGCAGCAAGCAATGAGGTTGATCCGTCTCTCTCTTCAGACCATACATTTAGTACTGCTGTTTTCTTGGGGCACCTTTAGAAAATATAGATAAATGCTCTTTTGCTTTGCCCCAGCTGTTTCTGGTTCTAAACCCATATGCTTGCTTTTCAGCAGAGCTGTGCAGAGTCTTAATTCATTGGCATCTGCTTTGGTTGCTCTGTATATACTTGCAGTGTTGCAAGATTAACCTATGGAATCGTGTTTGAGAGGAGTGTGGTTTCTTTCATCTGTTTTACTTATTGAGAGGATACCCCAAAACTTCAGTTCTTTAGAGCTTTAGCAGCTTTTTAATTTCCTGTCTACATCTATTCATAGTTAGTCCATATGCACTTGCTGTTTTCCCAGCGTTGTCCTTCCTCTTAAATAACCTTCATGTCTTGAGTAGTTGCTCCTTCAACAGAGAACAAGCCTACTCCCTTTCATCTTTTGTTTAGTTAGCCTTCTTGCATAAGGTTGTTGACGTGATCAAGGGAGTAGGAAGTGTTTTTCTGTCTAGTTTGACTGGCATCCAGAATTGTACACCGTATCATGGATTGCTGATAACTTGTACGATAGCATTTCATGTTTCCTTGTGCCTTGCTGAAATGTTTACCTGGCTTGTTTCATTCTAGGATTTGCCTTTCTGTGGCTGCCTTACCTTTGTGGCCTGTGTCTTCTTGCGCTAGAACTTGGCGTATTCGTCATCCTCCTGTTTCTGACTGCTGAGCACTTAATTTCTAGTAGAATCTTCTGTTGACTCTGACTGTGTGAATTTGCATTTTGTCCTATTAACTGTTACCTTTTTCTACCTAATCCAGTCCTCAAGGGCTTACATTTCCCCTTACGTTACATTTTAGCCTTTCCTTTTATTGATAATACCTTCCAACTTTCTGCTAGCTTCCCTGTAAGACCCTTACCCTTGCTGTCAGTGTCAGCCAGGATATATTAATATTTATTTCAAGACTGATTTTTGAGGCATTCAGGGAGTAAACTCCCCACCCTCATAAGAACACTTTATGTTACTGGTAGAGCGATCCAAGAACTGTAGCTAATAACTTGCACGTGGCATCCTATGGAATGTTTCTCTGCAATCTGAACAGACAACTGGTGCTAGATTAGCCTTTGGTAAAATGTCCTTGCCTAGCAGAGTAGCTGCTTTCTGTTACAATTCGCCACGTTTCCCCTTCATTTCTCAGTCTGTAATAATTCCTGTCTTAAATGTTTGGCATAAAGTCTTGCAAATGTTTGAGGACAAGTTAATTGGGGGGGTTCTTGGGTGTTTCCTTTTTTCTTGAAATGTAGGGACAATATTTTCCATTCTTCAGTCCGTGGCTTTACCTTGATTTGACGGATTAAAATTTCTAAATTCTGAACCTGCAATTTTATGGCATTTCTTTCTAATTTTTGAGATTATTACTGGTCTGCTCCCCCATTCCTGCCGTGATTATTTTTTTAATATGTCAGAGCCTCACTTTTTTGCTTTTAATTGTATGAGGGATGTCTTGTTATATAATATGTGACTGTTGGGGACTTCAATTTTGGTGCTTTCCAGGCTCTAGGGCAGAAGTCTCTGTTAATCCCTCCCTAGTCTTTGCAATGTTTTTCTTGTAGTTTGCAGATTATTTGACAAATGGAGGTGTTTGCTCTTCAGGTTATTGGCTGACTGACTCCATGAAACAAAATGTCAGACTCTCTTTTAAAGCAAAAATTGTGTCTCAGAAAGCCTTTTCAGTGAACTGGATTTCCATTGCAAAAAGTTATTTTAATATTCCACTTGATCCAGTTTTTTTTAGAGTATCGTCAGTGACCTGGGATCATTACAAGTAGGGTTGCCTTCTCTGCGAGGACCAAGCGGGCTAAGCAGTGTTACAGGAAATGCAAGTCATATGACTGTGGCGTCATCGTGTCTAGAATCAGTAATTATATCAAAGCTGGAATTTTCTACGTTTGCTATACAAAGGCAAGGCAAACAAATGAAGGTGTGTGGGATTAAATTTCTGATTTTCATCCATGTGGTTCTGCTTTATCTTCTGAAAAACAGCAGTCTGGAGTAGTCCTCAGTTTTCTTGTTGTCCTCCACTTTTCATATAGGGACTCTGTTTTTATATAGTTAGAATGGCTCTGTGTAAAAGCTAAAAATATTTATGTGCAGGCAAGATTTTATTTCACACAGCTTTGGGGGGCAAATCAGTCTCTAGAAAATTTTTATTTTAGTGATGACAGTCTCTAGCAAATGCCATATTGAATTGAAAAGTTCTTCATGCTAAATCAGTGCTTAAGTGCTTGTTTTCTTTCTGTTTCTAGCATAAAAATTGACACAGGTGGAAAAAATGCTAGGTTTTAGTATATTTAGTTTTTTTAAACTGACATGTAATTTGGTACTGTTGGCGAGCTTGGCTCCAGGGAATTCAGGACTGAAATAACAAAATATTTTGCAAATTTGCATGTCTTGCGTGCTAGGCAGCATAGAGGTAGAGCTGTTGCAAGGCCAGGATTGATCATTTTGCTGTGTCAAATGCTAATGCCATATGTTAAATGGGATATAGATTTCCAGCCGAAGCGGTCAGTGAGAGATTTGTGGTGTGTAACAGCGTGATATACTTTTGGTAGGAATCAAAGTGTCGTGTTGGTTACCTCGGCGGAGTTCTTCGCAGAAGTTTTGGAGTGCCTGTATCATGCTTGGGGAATTCTGGGGGCTGTGAGGTTCCTGCAATTCCCTTTCTTTTCTTCCATGTCATCTTCATAGAGGCATTTTAGGATTCCCCCAGTTGCTTGTGCTGTTTTCCTTACTTCTTGCCACTGTGAGTATAGATAGATCCTAGACATATCTGAGAGCTCTCGGTGGTGTATGAGAAACGGGGCGTGAGCCTTCCATATTTGCCAACCCGAGGGATCCCGGTGCTGGCTGTGCATCCCTGAGACCGCGGCAGGCCTCGCGAGAGGCGCTGCACGAAAGCTGCAAGGGCCGGAGGCTGCGAGCTCTGGCCTGCCAGAGTGAACGTGCAGTAGCACGCTTAATTATGAATACAGATGTGCCGGGATCTTTAAAGACTGAGGATTTGACATTCGAAAAGGTGTAAACAGGGATGCTTTTGAGGGTTGCCGTGTGTTGCCCAGTTGCAGTCCTCGTAGTATTTTTTTTTTCCCCGTCTTTTGGTGTTATTTATGTGTGTTACCCATCCCTTTCTTGTGAAAAAGGGGAAAAGAACTAGTGCAGTTAAGCTGGAAAGGCTGACGTTCAGCTTTCCTTTCAGATGCAGCCGTCCTTTTGGATGTTGTGGTAGAGGGAGGGTCCTGAAAAACTTGACTTTAGCGTGCCACGGTGAAGCATTACCTTCTTTTCTGGAAGAGCTGGTGACAGTGTTTTAAGGCAGGGGCTTGCCAAGCATTTCTTCTTTTGGCAGTAATATCAGTAAACAGTTCCCATCCCCTTCCCAGCTGCTCATTTTAGTGCTATCTCCTCTCTTGTGTTGGCATAGTTTTTTGTGCAGCTGCATGGCAAATCAGATCAGGGAACTGATCCAGTTAAAAATGATTAATTGTGGTTTTCGAATTCTTTGTGGGTTTTTAAAAATATACCAAGGAGCAATAAAAAGAAGTATATTTTGCTTTTATCGTTATTTCTATAAAAGTAAGCTCAAGTGTAGTGTTCCTTCATTAATTGGAGGAATACAGGGTATAAGACATAGCATTTTTTTTTTTTTAAAGCTTACGTTCTCTTGGAACTTAAAAAATCTTGGAAAATGCATCCTCCCACATCTGTTTCTTCTGATCAAAGTCCATGTCTCAGCATCTGTGAAGTCATTCTCCTTCAAGATTATTCTTCAGCTGGAGCTCGTGTTAAGCAAAAAAACAGATGCTGTTAAATTTGTCATGCTGGCAGGGAAGAAAACCTCAAAAGTTGCAGGAGTTTGCCGCAGGGCAGCCTTCATATTCTCACCAGGACCGCGTCTGCTCCTGGAACGGGCTGCGTAGATACAAGAGGAGGGAGTTCGCATTTGATACGCCTCCGTGTATGAACGTGCTGGCTGGGGGAGAGGAGGAAGAGCACGGGAGCTGTGAGTAAGTAGCACTAGGTGTTATGGTAGCTACACTGTTCTTCGGGGTGTAGAAGGTGTGGAGTTGAAAACTTCTCAGTGAAGCCTGGCAAATGCTAAGCCTTCCCCTTGAGAGTGGAAGAGCTGATGAGGATAGCATGGGGCATCTTCCGTCATGGCAGGCAAAGCTGATGGTGATTTCCTGCAAGTGTCTGGGAAAACTTCAATATATCCTCTGGCATGCACTTTTGGGTCTGTTGTAGAGGACAAGAGCGATACCCATGTCTATGTGACAACCACCACAAAGGGAGGCGAGCTGTTGATGCATTCCGGCAGGCTGATGGGGCTGGAGCAACATGGAGCTGCACCGCTGCACTTGTTTTACCCTGTTCCTTATCTGGCACTTTTTTAGGGGATTTTTTTTTTCTTTTTTAATCCACATGACAGCATGTACAAAGTGAGGTGCTTGGTTTCACAGTGTTTACACTGCAGGGTCAGTTTACAGGCTTGCATTTGACTGGCTTGTAAACAATCAAAGTAATTTTAAATTTCCTATGTATTTTTTCCCAAGTAACTATTTCAGTTTGTTTCTTTGCTGTGATATTTTAAAGAGAGTGCTTTTTACCAGTGAATCAGATAGGTGTGTCCTCTCAAAGCATCTTATATGTACTTTGGGGATGCAGTTACAGTTTTTTACATCACTTCTCCAAAAGTAAATTACCTGATTTGACTTGGTTCTCATTTTAAAAGGAGAAGAAAAAAAAAGTTTGGAGGTCTGGGTTTGGGGTTTTGGAGCGTGTGAAATGACAAACAAAGCTCACCTGTAGGACAACACCCGTCTTCAGGCTCGCTTCACTAGTTGTGCCCACCTGTGTTGAAGTAGTGGTTTAATTTAGATTGGAAAAGACCTTGAAGATCATCAAGTCCAACCATTAACCTAACACTGCCAAGCCCACCAGTGTCTCAGCTGAGCTTGTGTCCTCCTGAGTCAGTGGGCATTGCTGAGACCTGGAAGAGCCCCAGTGCAGCGGTGGTCACCGCTCTTTGTGGCTGCATGTGGTTCTGAAGACTCGGGTGTGAAACATGACCTCAATTTTTCTTGGCTTCCATGCCTTTTTATTGACCTACCACCATTCCTTACTGTTTACTGTCAGCTGCTCCCTCTCTGCTCGTGGAAGAGGGGGACTTGGGGAAAGAGGCATCTCTAAAATATTCCAGGAATTTCCAAGGGGAGACAAGTTTCAGATCAGGGTGACGCCAGGATTAACTAATGTGCACAGTCTGGCTTATGGACGTCGGTGCTATTTGTCATTATAGGGCTGGCTTTATATGCACAACAGTTGATGGCTGCTGTCATCTGATGCGATGGATTAATTTGACTGACAAGTTTTGATGGGAGGATTCACGCCGCTGGGGCTGGAGACGTGCAAGGCGATGATTTTAAAAAGCAGTTTTAGTTGGCGGAATGTCATAGGAAACACCAGGCTGAAGTTGTGTGCACCAGGCACTGCGTGATGCTGGGTTTTTGTGATTGTTGGGTACTTAGGGTTCACGTATCCAGGAAATGTGCATATGGGGGTTGTTTTGGTTTGGGTTTCTGTTGATGTTTTTTTAATAGATTGTGTGTTAAAGTGCTTAAAATCGCAGGCACTTGTTTATTTTCAGGAACAAGCAATGAATTTCGTGTTAGCATCCTAAAAATATTGACGCACTTAAAAGAAAATTTACCAATTATGTTCTCTTTGGGTCAGTTTTTAAGAAGGTTTGGACTGTGGGAACATGCTTTCTGCACAGTTTTTGCTTCCCTTAAATAGTCCAAGCTTGTGAAGATAACCTGTGGTCAAAATTGCAGATTTCCATTCCTCCTCCTTGGTCTGCTTTTACATCTGTAACAAAAGGGTTTTTAGGGGCACTGTTGACTGCTCTGGTTGCGTTTTCTTTGTGGAAGCCATTCTGCTGAGCTAGCCTGAGTATTGTTGCAACTTTTAACTGCAAAACGAAGTAGTGAAGCTGATTATCAGAAAGGATGCTTAATTGCACACATGAAATTGGGTTTATCCTGCGGTAGTATTGCTGTCAGCAAACCGTGTAATTCTGGAACAGCTGCTATCACAGAACACCATTACATTAACAGTGAGTGACCATCGTGTTCTGCTTTAATCTACTAAATAGTCTTTAAAATACTCGTTCCCAAAGGGATTTAGTGGCTTCTCTTACCAAAGTAAAATTCTGCAAAAGTACTGATTATGGTATTGCCATGATTATGAAGTGCATTCTGACAGGATTAATACATGAAATAAAAACCTGAAAGCACTTACCTTTGAATTTAATTAAAATATTAAATTGGCAGGTTAAAATTAAATCCTAAGGCAGCAAATGCAATGTATAAAATATTTAATTTTCTGTTTATAAAATATTTAATTTTCTGTTTATAAGCTATTTTAATAGAACTGTAATATTTACATGTGATGGAAATGAAATGGCTCTAATAACTTAAATGGAAAGCACAAATAAATAACATTAAGCTTTACCAGTTAATATATAGAATGATATGGTGCAAATATTAATTTGGGATATATTCTTTCGATGGAGCAGTCTGGGTTTTGGTGCCTCCCTCTGTGTTCCTTATTAATCTTTCCATGACATTTATTTTTCTCAACACTTGCTGTGGCATTTAGTTTTCCTGAAAAATCTAGCAGGAAAAAATATTTTAACAAGTGTGTTGAATGAGGAGATGGCTTTCCTTTAGACTCCTAAAGAGTCGTGTTTTTTTTTTTTTCTTGGAACATCTATGTGAAATATTTAATGTCATGCAAATGTTAGAAGACCTTGAGCAAGCTCTAAGCTAGGGCTATGACGTAAACCTGGAGTAACTAAACAAACTGTACAGAAGCAGTTTCTTTTTCATCATTTACAACATTACACTTCAAGAGTTATTTCTGCGTTCAGATCTTTAATTACTTATCACATCTGTTAGTCCAGTGCTGAAAACTGTACACGCCACTTTATAAGATAGCAAGAATTAGCGCTTATCTGTAGAAGACACTGCCTGTCAGTATTTTGTATGTGGAGTCTCTTTTTCTGGTATGACTGAGACAGTGTTTGGTGACTAGAATCTGCACTTAATTGGGTATTATACTTAATGAATCTTGTTTTTCTTTATAGAAAAGGCTACAAATGAATATAACACCAGTGAAGACTGGGGTCTTATTATGGATATATGTGACAAAGTTGGAAGTACTCCAAATGGGTAAGCTGTATCGCAGCATTACAACATGTAATTTCATGTTCATGTGAAGAACGCTGTTTCAGAGAGAAGACTTCTCAAAATGCTCAGTGTAGTCAGCTATGCAAGAAGTGCTACCAATCTGACACTTCTGCAAGCTCTACAAATACATGTAGTTGGCTTTAAAATTCTTTGAAAGAAATGTTCCAACAGGATTTCTAGTAGAGCAATTTGTATATGCTGAGTGCATTCCAATTTTTATGGAGTTTTGCACAGTAGACCAAGTTATTCATATTTAATGATCATGCTTAAATTTTGAGATGCAACTGTGCCAGTAGGAAAAAGTGAACTATTTTTTTTGCAGAAAATTATCTAGCTAGGGCAGTTAGCTATTTATGATGAGAAATTTGCCTGTGTTTATTCATTAGGAAGAATGGGACTGATGGAGGAGAAAAGGAGGAAAAAATGGGGACCAAAACACAGATCAGTTTGACTCAGTTTAGCCTGAGTGGTAATACTGAAACATAAGTGGTAGTTCAGTGACCCTGTAACGACCAAAAGTATTTGCTGGATTTTAAGGTAACCTTTTTGAATGATAAGATGTTTTAAATTTTGAAGTAAACCTGCATTAGTGCATAGGCTGAATTCTTAAGTGATCGTAGAATTTTTATGAGTTATAAGTAATGTTTAAGATTACTACACTGAGAAAGTTCTCTTTGTATTAATTACCTCCCACAGGGAATAAATACCAAATCTATTTGATCCAGGAATCCTTAGTCCTTAAGAAAAAAAGCGTAGAATGTTCTTTAAGTCCTTTCTTAAAAATCTTATTTTTATTTTTTTTTTTTTTTAGTGCCAAAATACTTTTGTGGAGGGGGCTGTTTTAAATCTACTTGTTTTAGGGGAGGGAGATTGTGTAAAAAAAAAAAAAAAAAAAAAAAAAAAAAAAAAATTGTAATTACACATGCAAAATATATAACTATATATATAAAATACATAATTAAATCTCAATATATCTTTTTGTATGTACAATAAAATCCTAGATTCTGAGTTTTAAATGCCACTACTGCTCACATATTTTCCTTCAATTTTGTGTAGTTTTCTTCCCTCCTGCCCTTCAATAAGAGCCACCTTCTGAAAATAATAAATATTGTTGCCTACCCTTAAATAAATACATAGCTTAACAACCAATATGTTGATTTGTTGGCTTGTTTGTGTATTAACTATGACCAAACTTACTCAATATTAGAACTAAAACCATGCTTCCCTGCATCACCAAGTAACTCAGCATGATAGGGCTGGAGTAGTAAACCAGAGTGGTTGGTACTGAAGCCACTGCACCCATCCAGTTTGTAGCTCACCATGTTTGGGGCTTTTTTCCCCTTCAGAACAGGTTTAATCTCTTCTCCTAAATTTAATACCCACACCAGCCTTGGGGCAAATTTGCGTGCAGATCCTGTCGCTGGCTTTGACTCTAGTGGCTCCTTGAGAGGCTGGAGCACGTTTGGTGCGTGCAGAGGAGCTTCTGGCTTAGTTTCTTCCAAAATTAAATTAATTTGCGTGCACAAAACTCCCCAGTGAACTGAACGTACAACATGGGGGAATGATCAGAAAATTTGTTTCAAAACCGGACTAGTGCTCCAAACCAAAATGTGAATATAGATGCGGCTTATTATCTTGTTTAATATAGTGGCATAAAATCTTTCTCACTACCCTACATGCAGTGCGTTGAAACATACCTCTTTTGAAACAAAACTTTGACACAAACTTTTTTTTTTTTATGTTAACATTGAAACAGTTTTGGTTTCACTTCTGCACAGGCTTTTTCTTAAGCTTTGCTCAAGGTTGCAATTCCATGATGACTTTAAACTGACAGGGGAGAGAATTTGCATTGAAGAGGGTTGTTAGATATTTCCTCTAGCCCCTTGTGCGATGGATTCCTGGTGAATCTGATCTTGGCAGTCATCTGGCTCAGCCAGACCAGTTCCTTGATCCAGGCACTGCTCGGCTGCTAAAGCCTCAGTCACGAAGGGAAGGCATTGCCATAGGAAGGGACAGTAGGTGTGTGGTCCGCTATTTTTGTCACCTGTGCCTGTGTAAAGTGACCAGGGAGCCAGAGCTGTAGTGGCGAAGAGCACAGGTGGTTTGAGCTGAGATCGCTTGCCGACATGGAGAAACGCAGCCTTACGGAGGCATTTGTGTAGCAGCTCGAGTATACCGCAAGTGATGTTAAGTTGTAAAGATGCTGCATCAGCTCTTTACATAGGGATTTCATGGGTTTAGGGGTTTCAAAATAGTAGTGTTAATGAAGCCTTACATATGCCTCAGCCCATGTAGCTGCTGTGTGCCTTTAATGCTTGCTTTAAGTATGGAACTCCTCAGTAGAGTAGCATTTAGAGTGCTAATCGTTATTCTGTACTTATCTCAGGTTTTGCTGAAGCAAATTATAAAATCTTTGTGTCCTTAGTGTCTCCAAATGGGATCCAAGAGCTGACAACCTGTGAGCACGATTTTTAAATTAAATCCGTAGAGACTCTTTACAGTAGCCAGTAAAATAACCATGTATTTAATGATCACTGCTCCTCATTCTTTTTTATATGTAGACATTTCTTTCAATTGTCTATTTCAAATCCATTTCTTCAACTTAATGGCAATTGCTCCCTTTATGGCCTGTCAGCAGTTTTATGGAAATTGATGCAAAATGCCAGTGTAAAAATGGAGTCTGTTCCAATCCAATACACATATAAGAACAAACAAGTTGTTAAATATTTTTTCCAGACTACCTCTGGGAAGAGTTTGTTTTTTTCAATAGACCCAGATTTGTTTGCTTACCCAACTTGAGTTTCTGGTCTCATTCATGCCGCAGATTGTGTCAGTCACATTTATCACTAACAGTTTCTTTGTTCCTTTTTCAGAGCAAAGGATTGCCTTAAAGCCATCATGAAGAGAGTGAATCATAAAGTTCCCCATGTGGCTTTGCAAGCACTTACAGTGAGTAGACTATTGCTATTTTCAAAGACCTTTGTATTCTTTTATGTAATGCAGCTATTAAATATGTACTGATCAATTAATACCTTTATATATATATTTTCAGTAGAAGTCAGTCAGTGGGTCCATGCTGAACAGAAGATTAAATTTAACTCTTTTTATGTATGCTTTTATTTTGGATTATTTTCACTGTTGTCATACATTTTCAAAATTGTATTTCTCTTGTCAGCTTTTAGGAGCCTGTGTATCAAACTGTGGAAAAATTTTTCACTTAGAAGTATGTTCTCGTGATTTTGCTAGTGAAGCTCGAGGTATAATAAATAAGGTAATTTTTTCTAACTTTTAAGTACTGGGGAGAATTATTTTGGCAAGTTCTTTGCTTTGTCTCAGCATAGTAAAGAGTTGGAAAAACTAATATTGTAGTTAATATGCATTTTCTAGTTTTGGTGCAATTGCAGATAATGCTGGCTGTTTGTGTGCTGAAATTTGTGTAGTTTCATTTTTACTATGAAAATATGATGTATTAAAGAAGTGTCAGGCTGATAATACCTACCCCAAATTTTTACAAAATTAGATGAGCAATTTTAATTAAAAACTGTGACTCTTCCTAAGCTCAATTAATTTGAAAATGGTGAAGGCAGCTTTTCTTGAAGAGTCTTTATTTGGCTTGAATGAAATTCATGGACTGAAGTGCAAAGGGAAAATTGTGAGAACGTTAAACTATGTTTTTACAAGGAAAAGGATAAAGTCTTCAGGCAACTTAGTTTCCAGAGGTTCTCAGAATGCTGAATGAGGGGGTAACCAAGAAAGGAAGACCTAAATGGTTAGGGTCAGGCAGCTGATGGAATCTAAATCTGGATGTAATGAATTGAATAAGCAGGAACAGCTTTCCCCTAATTACTGCTGCAGTTGAAGACAAAAATGGTTAATGGGTTAAAAAGAAGTTAGTCTTCAAATATATGGGATGCCTGGAATCATCAGAGGTGGAGCAAAGCAATTAAGGAAACTAATAAAATTGCTGGGAAGCAAAATGAGTTCACAGCTCTTCTGTTTCTCGCTTTGCATGGAAAAATAGGTCTTAAAGTCCTCCCCTTTGTTCTCATTAGCCATGGTCCATTCTGAAATAGAACATTGACCTGCATGGTCTGACAGCACTTGTGGACATGAAAACAAGCCTTTAATCCCACTGCAGAGTGGTCTGCTGGAGCATAATTTATTTTGTGGTTGGGAAATACTTACGTTTTACCCACGTCTCTGTCCCACTTGGAGGAATAATCTTCAGAGGGCAGATAAAATTGTACTTTCTCCCTTTTCTCCAAAAGAAAATTAGTTCAGACAAGTCTGTAACAAATGTCTTTGTGCTGATACCGAGCCTATCAAGCTGCATCTCCCCTTTCAGTTAAATGCATGCCTGAGCCCAAACTTGTCAGCGTTTTTACTGTTCAGCACATGTTTACATGTGAGGCACAGGCTTGCAATGCAATCTGAACTACACTCAAATGAGAAATCTTGTCCGTGCGCTGTGTTTGTGCAGTCCCAAGTTCTTATCCAGACAAGCCGAGTGAAACAGATGTAGGTGAGCACAGCAGCCTCAGAACCCTTGTTCACCAAGTATCCTGAGGTTGGTTTGGATGCTTTGGGTTCAAACTACAGTCTTTTCATCAACTGTCCATAAAACCAGAAAATGTATGGCGTCTGAAGTGCTTTGGTCCATGTTTTACCCTTGTAGTGTTGGCATGACCTTCACATATATTAGCTGCTCTACTGAATAGTTGTTCTTTTTGCTCCAGTAAATTTTTGAAGGCTATTACATGATTACAGGATTAATAGCAGCTGATGTTTAATGTGAATGAGGTACACTCTGAAGGGTATTCTTTAGCCGTACGGTAGAGTAATACATGACTCTGACCTGCTTTTCTGAAGGTGGATTATCACTTTGGGTGAGGTCGTTAGCTCATAAAATTTTCAGTGTTGAATGAAATGAGTGGTTCTATGTGGATTTAGAGTAGCTGTAAATCCTGTGGATGAGGGTGGAGGAAGGGAAGCTATAGAGGCTCTTTCATGCAAGAAGCTAGAGAAGAATGTGGGAGCCAGGGGAATTGCAGGCAGAGCACAGACTTGATCTTGGTTTGCCCCCACCGCAGGGAAATACCTTCTTTTACCAGACTGTGTCCCTGCATCTCAGTTCTTAATTCAGGAGCTGATAGTATAAACTGTCCCATGAGCTGGGTGGCACTATACGTAACGCATAATTCCTTTTTCTGAGAGAATCTGAGTCAAGGAGGCATAGGTATATACCGAGATGGTACAAAGATCATGTTTTTGTGAGATCCTACTATCTGAGAAGTCAACAGGAAGAAATGTGTTCTGGCATCTGAGGAGAAGATGGCAGAGGCCATAAAAGGTCTTGTAGGAAAAGGCAGTATCTTATATTCGACCAACTTATGTGGTTGGGAGGGGAATAACAATGCAAATTAGAAGTAATGAGGAGGAAATTGAAGTTAAATGGAGGGTAACTAACATAGAGGTGCAGAAAAGTTGGGGTAAGTGTGGTAGGTAGCCTGACTTTCCCCAAAACTATTGAGGTGGAAACATGGCTAACACTTGAAAAGTCAAAAAGTTTGTCAGTCTTTTTCTTTAACCATCTAAAATTGGCTTCACTAAAATAACGGCAGTATAGGTAAGTGAGCTGCCTGTAAGATCTGAGCTTTGGCTGTACAAGAGAATTAGCCTCAGAGGATTGCTGTAAGGGTTGAAGAAGCTCTGATTTTAAAATTACCAGTTGTTTGGTAGAATCGGGGAAATCTGAGCTACCTGCAGTCTGTTGCTGCACTGGGGTAATGGTGTTGGAAACAGCTACGGCACCTTTCCAATGAAAGGATGGTGCTCCAGAAGCTAAGCATGCTATCTGTAATAGCAGAGTGATTGTACAAAAGACCATATATTCTGGGCTCTGCTTTCAAAATTTTTTAATCAAGACAATTATTAAGGATATTTATAGCAGAATGGTTTTGGTAACAAAGTTTAACTGAGAAGGAACAACTGTTTCTGTTCATTTTAGTGTACAAGCATCCCTTTCTATGCAATTTTGTCTTCTAGGCTCATCCAAAAGTATGTGAAAAGCTAAAAACCCTAATGGTGGAGTGGTCAGAAGAATTTCAGAAAGACCCGCAGTGTAGCTTAATAGCTGCAACTATTAAATCTTTAAAAGAAGAAGGTGTAACTTTTCCCACAGCTGGATCACAGGTAATAGCTGATTCGGGATATGTGGTACTGTTAGGTTCACTGTTCCTGACAGCGAACAAAATGCAAAGCTGTGCAAATGAGATCTTTTGTGCTTTTGATCAGAGGGGAGTAGGATCCTTGTTATAGTTCGGTTGCCTCCTTATGCTGAGGTTCACTTCTGTTCGTTCTGCTTTTTTATGTCCTTGCCTTCTTAAGAAAAATAAGAGCAGACTAAAGGCTATTTCATGATCCCCTTATGAGTTGTTTCATTTCAGATCCTTTTTTTCTTCCAATCATTTTCAGAGCTTCATTGAGCTGTCACCACCTTAAATGGAAGCAATTCTACACCCACACTTTGTACTTGGTGTTTCATGGTTCTAATTGCTGACTTGGAGCTCATACCTTCATTTTCTTCACAGAGTCTCACAAAACAAAGGACAATATCTGGAATTGAGACATTTTTGAAGTGATCTGTGCTATGCTTTCCTTTTCCAAGTCCCCATTTCTGGTTCATGCAGTTACCTGTCCATGTTAGGAATTGTCCGGGCTCTGCAGTAGGTGGGGTGCTCCAGTCCCTAACCTTACCCACTGTATTTGACTTCTAGTGGTGTATTATGCCTTATCTTCTAGCTGGCAAATATGATGACAGATGGTTTTTTTCTATGCTTTATTATTGATGATTCTAAATATTTTCCTGTTAATTATGAGTCAGGTGAAGATCAGTCCTGAAAATTAGAACTGCAGCTTCTATTACATATTCCTTACATGAAGTTTACTTTTCTGTGTTAAACACAGAGGGGTTTTTTACTTTTACAATCTTTCCTTCCTCCACAAAGATGTTTTCACGTCTAAATCTAGGATATGTGTTAAAACATATGGCAGAAACATGGAAGATCTAGAGTACTGGCAGCCAATTATGCTTCATTTCCTACAAATACATATAAAATGACATCTTGATGTTTTTACCTCATACACTTCACTTCAAACAAGCAAAGCTGAGGTTTATTAGTATCTGGTACAGAATTGTTTTCTAGGGCCATTGGTAAGTCCTAGGCATGGCTAGTGTTTGAAACTAGGTTCTTCATTCCCGGTATGTGCGGGGAGACTTCCTTGTCAGAATTAAAATTCCAAGAATGATTTTGCAACACTGTTGTGGTGACTTGTATTATTTAAGTCGGCAGCTCCCGACTTGATGCACATTTGCTCTTCCTTCCCTGCCTGATGAACCTAGTGACTTTCTATGATGGTGTGACAACAACAGTGGACAAAGGAAAACCAATGGATGTCATCTATCTGGACTTCTGCAAAGCCTTTGACATGGTCCCCCACAACATCCTTCTCTCGAAATTGGAGAGCTATGGATTTGATGGGTGGACTGCTCAGTGGATAAGGAACTGGCTGGATGGTCGCATCCAGAGGATAGTGGTCAATGGCTCAATGTCCGGATGGAGACCAGTGATGAGTGGTGTCCCTCAGGGGTCCGTACTGGGACCGGTGCTGTTTAACGTTTTCATCAATGACTTAGACAGCGAGATCGAGTGCACCCTCAGCAAGTTTGCGGGTGACACCAAGCTGAGTGGTGCGGTTGACACACCAGAAGGACGGGATGTCATCCAGAGAGACCTGGACAGGCTGGAGAGGTGGGCCTGTGTGAACCTCATGAGGTTCAACAAGGCCAAGTGCAAGGTC